TCTTCAGCATTATCACTGCAACCTCTCACACCCTTGCTACTTCTCTCTGAGAATTTTTCCTCCCCTGCTATTCCATCAATTCCCATTTAAGAAGTCCATCAGCAACTTCCATAATAATGCCACTGTTTCTCTTCTGTGACTCCTGCCTACGAGCACAGCTCGGTAGAAGCCCTTCTTCCCAAATGATCCCAGCAACATCCCTCCATCTACAAGGTATAGGCCCGTATTAAGTCAGTTGTCAGTAAGCTACAGAACCAGATGTGCCACCAGGAATAACAGTCTGGTAGGACAGAGCTAACCAATTTTCTGAAGGAGGCTCAGCAGCTCTAATCCACTATTACAGATACATGGCACTTAAAGAGAAAGCTTTCTGATAAGGCAAGAGAAGATGGTGAACTCCAGATGGTGGTAAACTGCTTTTTACAGCAGTCCTCATTCCTGGCTTCAGTCTTCCTTACTCAGAGATAACTATTTTCGTGCACTGTAGGAGACAAACTACCATTACTGAAGCAACAACAGTTCCCATAGCTGCTCTGCAATTTTAAAGTCTGCCAAAAATAAACATGAAACTACACTTGAAAGATATAACATACCTAGAATCAAATACAGCAAGCATTCCTGAACAACAGAAAGTCACATCTTGTTTATACCTCTGACCACACACAAAAGCTGGCTAGGGATAGAAATATAAGAGACTTCATCTATTCATCATCTGCACAAACTGAAACAGACTATATTGACTATAAAATAATATAAAACCATAAAACAAGTCATAGATTATTAACAAAGCAGCACAGACTGGTTAAGCATCAGACTTTAAAATTAAGTTGGTAATCAGCAACCACAGCAGATATTCCAGTACTTCTTTCAGAGACAATTCAGGCATGAAATAGTTAAACAACTTGTCAAAGATGAGCAATAAGCACTCAGGGTTAAAGCTCAGGACTTAAGTTCCTGGCTCCCAGCCTTGGACCCAGACTATCAGAACTTTACATATCTTTGGATTACACTTGAAAGAACATTTAGATACAGCAGCTTGACTCTTTCCGTTCTGCCAGGTAATTAAACAAATTTGACTTAATTTGTTCTGAAGCACAAACTCATTCCATTAAGCAAGTGTCTAGTTTTCAGCGACAGTTTAAACTCACAATTCTTAGTTGTTTCCAACTGGAGTTGCCATTATGCCACAGCCTGGAGAACATAACAGCAGAAGAGTAAAAACAAGTCCCAAAATAACGAAACTGCTGCAGAAAATCTTTGTAATCCTTCTCTACAATCGTTCCCATAAAGGAAACTTCCACTAAGAAAACATGTTAATGTCTGCTCTCAAGTATTTCCGGACAGTTAAGTCTTACTTGCACTGAAACAGTGACAGCACAAAAGAAAAAAAATCCCATGCATTACAGATGCTTTTGATAACCTGATCATTGAACTTATCAAGGACAATGACTCTGTGTTCTCCACTGGAGAAGTCCTGTCTAATCTAATATCCTGGCTCTGGATTCTCCAGAGCACACGGAACAAGTTGAACAGAGACACATCATAGGATTGGGCTCCAGCAAGACAAATATAAAATTAAGAAGGGAAGAAAACTACTGCTGAACAAAGAATCAGCTATTTCAGAAATGGAGGCAGCACAAGCTACAACACCCTTGCCCTTATGCAACTGACTGCTAAATCACAAAAAAGCAAACTTTTGCCATCAGTTAAAATTAAGGAACCCAATTATAATGACGGTGACACTCAGATTTCAATTTATAACCCAACTTCAGTGCTTAACACTGTGATCCGATAGGGCCAGGCCACAGCTAACCACCAAGGATAAATTCCATACATACCAAGTGAAGAGAAACTAGTTCTCTGCTCCTCACACATCCATATTCCTCAAGTTAGAAAAGCTTTGGCACAGCAGAATGACACAGGTGGGCCCCAGATACAAACTCACTGCCATCTTCTTGCCTCAAGCTTTAGTAACAGCTTTCCCCCTTCTTTCCCTTCCACCCTCATGAGCTTCAAAAGAAACACTTGTCACATCCAGCTATCACACAGTGCTTAGAAAGCCAGAAAATGAAAAACTTTATGTAGCAGAGTTCACGTTTCAGCCAAAGCCACCCAATATTGACTTTGTAATAGACAGCCATTCTAGCCCAAGTGTCTAAAGAATTATAGGTTATGCATATTATGTGAAGGTTACGAGGTCAAATCTGACCTCAAATATACTGAAAGCTATGTACCAGCATTCTTAGCAAGCTTTTTAAAGTTGCTGTCACTCTTACTGTATTAAAAATGCTGTTCTCCATTGGCCTGTTTTATAGGCAACATTGTAGAGACCACTGTTTTTGCATTGTACTGATCACTGCAATTAAACAGATGCAGTTTTCTTGATTAACACCTCTATTAGTTTAGTTTAAGCTAGCTTTCCAACCGAAATATTGCAACATTGTATTACAAACAGGAAGAAAACAGAAAGTGAAACCTCCCATTTCTTCCAGGTTTGTTTTCTTCACTTCTGTTTTTAGTGAAGTTTTAGCATTCCACAACAAAAGTTACAGTTTTAACATTTGAGCTCTCAAGCCATTCAAAAACCAAAAATCCATACCCTAGGCATGTACTGTACACAAACTGGTACCGTCCTCAGTCACAGACATGTTTAGAGTCCATACTTGTCAGCTTGCAGACCACAGTGGTTAAACAATCATTTATGTTTCAGACAGCAAGATTTTCTCTAGCTTCCACCATGGTGCCTGCCACAAGAAAGCAGATGGAAAGGCAGGGAGGGAATAAAGGTCCTCAGACCAGACTTAGAGCCACTGTCAACTTATCTTAAGGTATTTTGAAGGAGGATCAGAAGCATGCAAAGCTGCTGCTCCAATTTTTGCAAGAACCACACGAGGCTCTGTTTCATTAAAGGGATCCTTAAAGCCAGAAATACAGCTAATAAAAGTAAAAATGCAACCAGCTTGATTAACATTATTAACCCTTCCAACAGCATCACAAAGAGACATTATGAGGCATAACAAGAACTCGAAGGATCACACAGAAGCTAAACTTGCACTTTGATTAGGCAGCTGGCTTTCAACAGTTTCCAGCATGGTTTGTGGGAGCTGAATACACAGGAAGAAGAGAGAATTTCAGCTCAAATTCATTACAACCAAGTATAATACCAAGCCTGGGACCCCATTCCAGGATCCATTTAAATTTCAGGATGGTTTGTAGTATATCAAGGCTCTGGGGTTTGCACCTTAAGATTCATCCTAAGTCAATTATAGCTGACAATGAAACCAAACTCCTCTTTGCTCTTTGGGTCACAAAATCAGAAGGCTACGGCTTCCATAAAAACCGAAAATGGACATTGTTACAATTTTTTGGAAACCATCCTGACTGGCTTGCTGAAACGGAGGCTAGTTAATTCGCTTACAGTGAAGGCTTCCCTGAACTCCACCCACTATGACTCCAGCAATACACATACAGCTGCTAACCTGTCAAGAAGCAAAAGGCTGGCAAGTCATCTTTTGTAACATGAAGTACAATAATTCAGAACATCTAAGGAAGTTAAGAACAGACTATTTCCTGATTTCTGCATTTCCAGATCCCTATAAAAGCCACTTTACTATACATGTACATATATAGAAAGTTCATTACTATTATATGCATTTTAACATGTCTATTTTAATGAAGAATTACTTGCAAGCACCTGCCACACAACCACAGCTTCTTCAATATTTGTAGTTAATTAAGGATTCAGTTTGATATATAATTAAAATAAAGGTTACAGAACTTAAAGTCTGCCAGGGAAAAAATTATACTACATTTAACAGTAGTTTTGAGCTCAAGCTTTAAAATACGCTTCCTGCAGAATTTAATATTAAACTTCAAAAAGAATTGTTATAGCTTTCTTGTTTCCAAAAGCCATCTTCCAGCTTGTAAATGACAGGAGTCTTTGAAAGTAGGCATCATTTGCCACATGCTACAAATAAATAAATAGCTAATAAATAAAAACAAGTCACTTATACTGATTTTTTTTTAGCCTTTGGAAGTTAATTTGAACCACACGTCAAATGGGAAAACAACAGGAACTGTAGTGGGAACCACTTTTCTAAATACAACATTAATCTCACTCATAAGTCAGAGCATTCAAGATATGTAAAAAAACCCAAAACTCTAAGAATTACATAAGTGACAAGTCCAACTACTTGCAAAAGAAAAAATTTAACTCATGATCTTACAGGCTGTGTTGTGCAAACAGGGCTTTACGGCCAAAGAAATGTAGAAGTCAGTAGGACTTTCCCAAAAAAAGATTGCAAAAGAAATTTTGCTCTCTAGCACAGCGACTGAGCAGCACGGAGAAAGTATAATTCCTCTAATGATCCCCAGCCAAAGTAAAAAAAAAACCACACCAAAAAAACAAACAAGTACATTTTTCGCAGCCACAATCAGAGGCAGCCATCTTAGTAAAAGATGTCATTTGTCATCGCCAGCTTAGAAAAGTTTTAGGCAATTTCCACTATTATTTCAAACACAAAACTCCTCTTCACTTAGTAAGTAAGAAGGCACAAATATTCAGATTCCTTTTTCTGGTTAGTAGAAGCTGGAAAGATTGGGAAAGTTACTTGATCTTTATCTAGTACTTAGATCTTCAAAGAGTACAAACATTAATTAATTCTCACAACACCTCCCTGTGGAATGCAAGTATCACATTCCCCATTTTGCAGATTAGGAAAAAACACAAATCAAAAACCAAGCGACAGGAAAATCTTAGAAAAACACTCCAGCAAAATACTTAAGAAGCCTGAATTCAGCCCTTCTTCAGTGTGCTGAGCAGTACTCTCAAACCATAGTTTAATCCTGAATCTGTATATCTGAATGCACATTAAATGTCTCTCTGCTTTGCTCATCACATACAGCCACACTAATATTTCAGTAAGATTGCATTCACATCTTTCTATGTAAGGAGTAGCTAAAAAGTCAGAAAACATTCAGTAAAACAATATTTCTCTTACCTTCTGCTACATCATCATCTACAGCGCCTTTCACCTGAGAAAAACACCACTGAATGTCATTTCCTCCTCCAGCTCCTAAAAAAGACAAATGAAAAAATGAGACCCCCCCCACGGCAACACAAAGAGCACACAATAGTTACCAATTGAAAATTTCAGACACTACTGTGCACGCCTACTTCCTCAGCAATGCTGTCGGCACAATTACAAATTGCCCCTCCCCACCTTTTTCCTTTACAGATATTGTTTTTGTCATTAGCGGTTTGCCAGCGTTCAATGCAACGTTTGTCAGAAACAGTGGAAGCACAAGCAGTAACAGCGATAAAAGCCTCTGTCACCAAAAGCTCGCTGGAATAAGTAACATTGCTAGTGCTAACTTTAACTGTGCATTTAAAACGAGAGCACGCAAACGTCCTCACACGAAGCTTCTTCCTACTTTAGAAGGCAGAACCCTCTACAAACACACATACACAAACATCCTAAACAGTAACTGTCGGAAAAAGCTCTACATTTGCGGAAATTTTCAGTCTTTCGTTCAATATAAACCAAGCATGCTATTCATTTCCTTCTTTTACAAAAACATTGAACTAAACCTACATACTAAAGGCTGACGAAAAAAAATTTTACCACAATTTTAGAGTCTCTTCGCAGAAGTAATGAAAGCAATTATCAGCCTTAAGAAAGCAGCAAATCTGAGCAGAAAAACAAACAAGCAATCTGATGTTAACAAGTTCTACTACCATAGAAAACGGATCGAAGAGAAAACTTCAGGAACATTACTGCCTCGGCGGAAGGCAGTGATTCATTTGAACCCTGCCACCAAAACACACAAAAAAAATCACCACCCATTTCTTTTGCATTTCGTTCTGAGCAAATCACTGCAGGGCTGAGTACATACAGGAAGAGACAGAAATGGGCTTGCCTTTTTTTTTTTTTTTTTTGAAAGCCACTGTCAAAATGGAACTTTTCTTTAACCCAATTCAAACAGGCTGAGCAACAGATGGCATTTACACATTAATCCAGGTCTGTTACGGCTTTTCGGATAACAAAGAATACAGAAGGGACTTCTTCCATCTTCTACACTACGTTAAGGGGGTGGGGCAGCAAGTCAAAGACACAGAAATTAGAAACCCCAAAATAATCCTTCCAAAAAAGACCAAGTGTCTCAGAATGTTAAGGGAAGTGCTGGGATACAATCAGAGTCCAGTTTTCATTTTCTGCCTGCCTTAACTTCTTTTCTGAAGTATTGCACACATGCAAGCTGCATAACCTGGCAAGGTGAAGGCTGGTACAAGCATCTATCTACACAAGACATGAAAAACGCTTTTTGCAGATACACTGGAAAGGTTTGCCACACACTTATCTCCACCATTCCCCAAAACCCATCCAACCCATTTTCTTTCCTCTCTCCAACCTCTTAATTTGTCATTTAGCAGCTGGTACGATGGAAGCATTTAAAGGGGACAGCTTGCAAGAAAAAAAAAAATAATCACTGCTCTTTCTACTTAAGGCTAAAACTCTATTTTTCATACAATTTACTTGAATCAAGTTGGCACTCTCCCCCCGCCCCGACTGAAACTAAAAGAGGAGGGTGGAGCATGGGCCTATGGTGTAGGGGGAAAAGGCAAAGCACAAACCTAATACAGCCTCTCACGCTTGCTCCTCCAAATGCAAAGCGCTGAAAAGACAATTCATTTGCAGGCGAGGGGGATGAATATATTTCCAAATTGAGAAATCACAAGGATAAGTAAGCAGGAAGAGATACCTTATGCATACACACTTCTATCCTACCAAGAGCACTTTAGGATGCAAAATGGGGAGGCAAGCACAGGAAGGAATGAGAAAGAAAACACAGTAAGACCTGTATTATTTAATTACATCCTGTGCCCAATTTTAGTCTCATTTGCAGATGCTTAGAAGCTGCACCCTACAGAAGGGTGCAATTGTGCTCTCGACACAAGCACGTCTGCACCCTGGAACACCTCTCCGTGCACAGCAGCACTTCTCTGCACAGACCTCACTAACTCCACCTGAGAAATCAATGCAACCTACAAGCACGTATAGAAATTCAAAAAGCTTGTAGGGGGGTAAAAAAAGAAAAAAGGCAAAAGACCCACCCTGTCTGCAAGTCTCCTGCTCACTGAACTTCAAAATACACCACTTCCCCCATGGAAGCCCCTCCACCTTGCTTCTTTCATGCCTCC